AATGTCTTATTCCCTGGCGCGCTCCCCCTTGCGTCTGCCGGGGTCGGCGGATTTTATTTCCGATGGCAGAATTTCCTAGAGGTGTTGTGAAATCATCTCTAATTTTGATGCTCAAGGATTCAATTTATCTAAAAGTTATAAATGTTACTTCTTTCTCCATATGGATATGTTTCAAGATGAGGTGTCCGTTTTTGGTTCCAAAATAGGTACTTTAAGGGGAAATACGGATACCTCAGTTTAAGACATTCCCATATGTGCACTTTTTTCAATGTTTGAAACCTAGCTGGCCTACTTTCTTTTTGAATCTATATATATATATATATATATACATTTTGAGACCTGTACATGTTTCTTTTCCAGTACCTCTTTTTCCCTTACGCGCTCCCCCTTGCGTCGGCCGGGGTCGGCGGATAATTTTATCCCATTAACGTATCAACTACATCATTTATCACATAATGTATCATGCATCATCATATTCCATTTAAAATGTTTTATCCTATTGTCCGCTATATATGATTTACACATGCACATTATATACATATATATATACACACCATTGCCTCCCATTTATATCATATAGATTTTATCATCACACAAACACATATATATATATATATATTTATTATTATTATGTACATACATATATTTTACCTTTAATCATATATATATATATTATATATATAATATCTCGTTGACTCGCAGGCAGAGCTGGGTGAGGCAGACTCCACCTTCATCTTCGCCGCGCGGCTGCGGTACCTGGACGGCCAGCCACGGCTGTGGCCCAGCGCCCGGGCCTCGGAGCCGCTGCGGCGGAAGCAGCAGGAGACGATGGCCGAGTTCCGGGCCATTTGGGGGTGGCCATGGGAGCGGGTTGACACGTGGGGTGGGAAAAAACGATGAAGAACTGGGTTGAGAGATAAATTCGATATAAACCAGTGATATAAAACCAGACATAAAGGATTTAAATATGGGAAGCAAAAAAACCAGAAGTTGGGATATCAAATGATATAACCTCTATCATTGGGGTTTTTCAGAACCAGTGAGTAGTGGAACTGCACCCCGAAATGGCCTGTGTTTTAATCAACTGTGGCTGATTGGAATGTTCCATGGAAATCCCCAATCTAAATGGAGCTTGCAATGGGAAATTGATCTAGAAACGTTAGAAACGCGATTTTCCATTGCTGTGTTTGACTATAGGAGGGTAACGGTATAGGTTAGAATCCATCCGCTAAGCCATCAAACCATCAACCAGTGGTAACTGTGAAGTTGGTAACTTGCTGAAGTTATACTGTAACCCATGAAATGCCCAGAGACCCAGTTGAGGTGACTGGTCTTTACTCTTTGGACTGCTTGAACTTGTCCTGATGATCATGGATCAATGCCCTGAATTTCAGTTTCTGCTGGCAGAAACAGAACCAAAGACATGCATGGGTCCATAAAAGTCATGTTTCGCCAGGACAGCCGAAACACTGTTTGATGTAGTGTTGCATCCCCATTTTTGGTTGTTCCAGTTGTTCCAGTCTTTCTATTCGCAGTAATCCCCATATTTCCTCCATCAACATCGCTTCTTAGGTTTAATGAAGTTTAATGGTATTTGTTAGCGAAAAATCACAGAACACCATGGTGGTTACCACTAAAAATAGTGTTTGTTATTTTGTTTCATTTCCCATCATTCAATTCCGGTATATACCCTCCGGTAATTTGTTACATGGCTAACATGGCCCATTGATAGTGGATTGACCTACCATCTGGTTATTTAACATAGCCATGGAAAATCATCATTTTTAATAGGTAAACCATCTATAAATGAGCCATTTTCCATGGCAAACTGTTAAATAACCAGATGGTAATTCATTATGATCCACTATAGTCACTATAGGTACATATTGATAGTGGATTGACCTATTAGAAGTGGTGGGTTTTCCACAGCTGTTGGCAAGGCAATCCCTTGCCCCAGGACTGTTGGGGCCACTGCGGCTCGCGCGGGGGCTACTGCGACTGGTGCGGCGTGGGGAATGCCTGCTGCCGGCAGGGAGAGGCCTGGCGCACAGCCAGTGGATCATGGGAAAAATCATGGGACAAATCCATGGGAATATATAGGAACATCCACTATAAATTGAGGTTTTAATGGTGTGATTCTAGACATCTACTGGATTTGCTGAGTCAATGATTGCTCATTTTCCAGGAAATCCATTAGACATTGGGAATCGGTTAATTAAGGGATATTAAGGGAATCATGAATATGTTGTTTTTTTTTGGGGGGGGTCCTTCAGCAACTCCAAGGAAGCCATTTTCATGCCATATTTGGGGTCGCGACTTGGTCCTTTTTTGGGGGGGGGATAGCCATGAAGTTTGGATTACCCTGAAATTGATAGGATTGATGACCATACCACATGGATCCCATATATGATATATGAATATATCATATCCCATCTATCCCATCTATCCCATGGCACATCTATTGGATCAACCTCAGACAGCTGGTATTCTTTGTAACGTTTTGCCTTCCGGCCTCCCGGATCATGGTGCCAGTGGTGCCTTAAATATGTGTGAATCCCCTGATATTGTGTTTCTGGTGCGCGTTTAATTTATAAAGGGGTTAGTTTCCATCTGGAAAGATGGACGCCAGCAGCTAGAGTATCATTTGATTGTGAACGTTTCGAAGAAGGATCATTAGGCTAGGCATTCCATTATTTTAGCGGGAACGGTTGTGAGCATCACCCCGGAATTTCAGACATGTTAGCCAATTGCACCATGTTGTGATAACAGAATTTCTGCTGCCTTAGCCTCTGGTCAACCAACATAGCTATTGAAAATCACCACTTTTAATAGGTAGATCAACATAAATCAACTATAACCGGGCCATCTATACATATCTATACCATGGCTATGTAACAAATTACCGGAGGGTATCCCAGTTGGTTTTTATAAACCCCATGAATACTATAGTTATTTTTGTTGATGTTATTTGCCATAAACATAAAAAATAAAATTCAGCCATTTTGTTAGGCAACTAAGCTATCTCGGGGGCCCCATCCTGTACTTCACCTGAGCTGGCTGATGGGCCAGGCCGGAGATCCCGCTGAGTGTTTTAATGCCAGTGGCTTCAGCGGTGCCGAACAACACGACGCTTGCTGTTGGCAACATCTTTCGGGGCGGGGAGGTCTAGAACCAAGGCCCCAGTCCTATCCTCAGATGTTTAATTCGTTTAATTTCCATATAGTCATGGGGGGTACATAGTCAATAGCTGGATAGTTTATTTCATGGAAAATCCGACGATAAAATGATGATTTAGGGGTAACCGTAACCCCTATTTCAGGAAACATCCATTTGGATCGGGAAGTCTGGTTTTGAACATGTTTGAACTCTACAGGTGTCTCTTGGCAACTTCGAATACCACTAAAAAATGGAGGCCTATTTTTTTGTTTTTTTTTTCTTTTACGTTTTTGGATTTTTTTTTTGGTTTCTTGTTTTATCTTGCTTTCTCCTTTTTTTTTTTGCTTTTTTGCTTTT